CCCCCAATGGAACCTTCCAGGTCCCCGATTCTCCCCCCCCTCCCCTCCCCCCTCCCCCAATTTTTGGGGTTCTCTCCTCAATTTTTGGGAGGTTCCAATCCCAAATTTTGGAGGTTTTCATCCCAATTTTTGGAGGTTTCACCCCAAATTTTGGAGGTTTTTCACCCCCATTTTTTTTGACGTTTTTACCCCAATTTTTAGATCTTTTCAACCCAAATTTTCCAGGGTTTCCACCCCAAATTTTTGGGAGTTTTTCACCCTAAATTTAGGGATTCCCTCCCCATTTTTTTTGGAATTTCCCGCCCCAATTTTTGGACCTTTTCACCCCAAATTTTTGGGGTCTCTCCTCAATTTTTGGACGTTCTCCCCCAAATTTTTTGGGTGGTCTCGCCCCCATTTTTGGGGTTCCCACCCCAATTTTTGGGTATTTTCACCTCATATTTTTGGGGGTTTCAACCTCAAATTTTTGGAGTTTTTCACCCCAAATTTCTCGGGGTCCCTCCCCAATTTTTGGGGGTCTCATCCCAAATTTTTGGAGCTTTTCACCCCAAATTTTTGGGATTCCCACGCCAATTTTGGAAGTTTTCATCCCAAATTTTGAGGGTTCCCACCCCAATTTTTGCAGCTTTTCACCCCAATTTTTGGAGATTTTTCACCCCAATTTTCGGAGTTTTTAATCCCAATTTTTGCCGTTTCCCACCCCAATTTTTGCAGCTTTTTCACCCAATTTTTGGAGTTTCCCACCCCAATTTTTAGAAATTTTTCACCCAAATTTTGGAATTTTTAAACCCAATTTTTGGAGTTTTTAATCCAATTTTTGGAGATTTTTCACCTGATTTTTGGAGTTTTCAATCCCAATTTTTGCAGCTTTTCACCCCAATTTTTGGAGATTTTTCACCCAATTTCTGGACTTTTTAATCCCAATTTTTGGAGTTTTTAATCCAATTTTTTGAGATTTTTCACCCGATTTTTGGAGTTTTTAATCCAAATTTTTGCCGTTTCCCACCCCAATTTTTGCAGCTTTTCACCCCAATTTTTGGAGATTTTTCACCCAATTTTTGCAGTTTCCAATCCCAATTTTTAGAGATTTTTCACCCAAATTTTGGAATTTTTAATCCAATTTTTTTGAGATTTTTCACCCAATTTTTGCCATTTCCCACCCCAATTTTTAGAGGTTTTTCACCCAAATTTTGGAGTTTTTAATCCAAATTTTTGGAGCTTTTTCACCCAATTTTTGCCATTTCCCACCCAATTTTTGCAATTTTTCACCCAATTTTTGCCGTTTCCCACCCAATTTTTTGGAGATTTTTCACCCAAATTTTGGAATTTTTAATCCAAATTTTTGGAGATTTTTCACCCAATTTTTGCCATTTCCCACCCAATTTTTGCAATTTTTCACCCCAATTTTTTGGAGATTTTTCACCCAAATTTTGGAATTTTTAATCCAAATTTTTGGAGATTTTTTCACCCAATTTTTGCCATTTCCCACCCCAATTTTTGG